GGGGGGGAAAGGGGACTGCTATTCAAGAAACACCAAGCCCAGTGCATCCCTCCCCAGGTGCATGGAATTTGTCGAAACACATCTTCGAATACTTGGCCACAGTCTCTAGTTGCAAGACCAGCTTGAGTAGCCCACTGGGAAACCGGCTCGGCAATCAGACTTTCCCTTTTTTGAGATCAACCGCTTACGAAGACTTGAGTTTCTCCCGCTCTTTTACTCTTATCAAATTCCCTCTCACTCTCTCTCTTACTCTTTTCACGTTAACACTGCCATGGTGGAAAATATATCACGAGGAGGAAATATAGCACAAGAAGTTGATTTAATTACCTGCCTCCACTCGGTGCTTTAACATAGCCTTTTGGTTTAAAAAGACTAAGTTACTCTGGGTAGCTGAAATACGCTCACTCTACTAATTTATTCACAGCGAACTTCAGGGACTGCAAGCCCATCGCAAAGAGATGGAAGCGTATACTGCTATTAGACACTCTCCCCCCGCCCCCAAGTCTCAGACGTATTACCCATGGCAACTCCATCTTTGTTTCTGGTGTTGTGCAACTGCCATAAAAAAACAAAACCAAACAGGAGCAAGGAGGAATGTCCCATCCGAGCGCTTGAGACCACAGAGATAAATTCCTGATGTGTCCTATGAATGACAGAGCCGGGTGGTAGGGCGGATGCCTCACGTGCCTGGAAACAAGATGATCGGGGGAGGGGGGGGATACTCTGAACGAAGAGACAAAAGCAGCCAGGATCACAACACTTTCATTTCAAAACAGAAACACACATGGTGGGGGAGGGGAGAAGGGGGGGGAATCAGTATGCACGAGAAGCTGGTAGGGTGAGTGGGACGGTGTCCGTTGCCAGCAAAGGAACACACCCAGACCACGGGACAGTCTCAAAGGAGCTGCGTAAGAGGGAGGGGAAACGAGAGGAGAAACAGAGAGTCTCTCGAAAACTTTTCTGAGAAATAGAAAGGAAGAGTCGTCATAGCAGCACACCCTGCCCCTCATCCCGATCCCCAGGTAAAAAGCAAACTGGGAAAAAAAGAAAAATGCACAGCAAATAGACATAATCTTGAAGATTTTTAAAGAATAAATATTTTTTTGTAATTAAACATTATGCAAACACGTGCCACGCCTGCTCTTTTGCCCATGCATATGCGCTATTTACAATTTTGAAAAATACTGTGTTGTCCTCTTTGTTTTTTTTTTAAAAGTCATATACAAAGTTCCCCGTCCCCCTTTTGCTTTTGTGCCCCTTGCCCCCTCCCCGCCCCCCAAATCCTCTTTTCAATAAGCCAAACGACATTCACCCATGAACTGAACTGGTACGTATCAGGGGGAGGGGGGCAGGGGAGGGAGGGGGGTGGTGGAAATCCCATACCAAAGTACATCAAAATGGCTGGTCGGACATGAAAAGCAGTGTTGTCGAGAAACAGTTTGTTTGTTTTTTCAATTTCATCTGTCATACGCGTAAGGAGAAAAGGCGGGAGGGGGAGAGAAAGAAGTCAGCTCGGAGAACGAAGCTACGTTACAAGTTAAAGTTGGAGGGTTTCATTTTGCTTTTTTAAGTGCGTTTGTCACACTTAACTGGCCGCCTAGAATACTGTTGTACAATGGTTTATCTACCTTTTTTATTACAATATAATTTACTTAATTTTTTTTCTCTCCATGAAGAAAAACAGAATTCCGGTACTAGAGACCAGTGGGTGTAATAGGCGTACTTGCCCTTTTCTGTGTGTGTTTTTGCTTTTTTTTTTTTTTTAATGGCATGAGCACTCTAGATGGTTAAAGGTTTTCAGAGTTCGGGTATTTTTTTGTTGTTTTCTTTTTGTTTTATGCAGGCCGGCCTCAGTCCTCAATATACTCCCACAGGTCCTTCTCGTAGCCTTCATGCACGTGCTGCAACAAAACCCTTCGTCGGCTCTCGCAGTATCTGCAAAGGAAGGAGGGCGTTACGACATTAGAACAGATAAAAGGAAGTACTTCTTCACCCATAGAGTAATTAGCTTGTGGAATTCACTGCTACAGGAACTGGTGCTGGCTACAAGCACAGACTGCATCAAGAGGGGATTGGAGAAACATATGGAGCAGAGGTCCATCAGTGGCTATTAGCCACAAGGTATAGATGAAATGCTATGCCTGGGGCAGTGATGCTCTGTCTTCTTGGTGCTCAGGGGGCAACAGTGGAAGGGCTTCTGAAGTCCTAGCCCTACCGGTAGCCCTCCTGATGGTCCCTGGCCACTATGTGACACTGAATGCTGGACTGGATGGGCCACTGGCCTGATCTAACATGGCTTCTCCTATGTTCTTACGACAGCCCCTAAAGGGGGGGGGGGGACCCAAAAGGTTGTTGCTGCACATCAGGTTATTTCAGGGTTCCCCGTGGGTGCTTTACACAGAGAGAGTCCGCAATGGCTCTGTGAGGATGTCTGGGCCTCACCTCTTTCTTAAATGGAGGCAAACTGCTTGCAAGGGCTTACTGTTTGGCAGATCGCACAGCTGGGTCCACAAAAAAGAGACCCGTTTCAGATCGCGTGCACCGCTGGAGAGTAGGCAGGGCTTCTTCTGCACACTTGCTATATGCCCATTCTAAGCCAGCTGTGCTCAGCTTTCCTGGCTATACATTAAGCCTTTCGCATGTGCCCTGGGCCTAACGCCCATAACCCAAGTCCATGATATTTACCAACCTGCAATTTCTGTGGCTGCAACCATGTTTTCCCCACCATGGGTAAAACAGCAAGTGCATTCAACTAAATGCCCGCCTGCAATGCTTGCTTCTCCCGCACCACCCCCTGCCCACCCTTTAAATGCCAAGGAAAGCCACTTAAGAAAATCATGACCGCAGCTGGAAGAATGTGTCACTTTGGACACACCGGTTCCTCTGCTGTGCGTCTTTGCCCTCCGAAAGCTTCAAACGGGAAGGCAACAGGCTTTCTGCAAGCAACGAAGGGTCAATGTGCCCCTTTTGCTTGGCAAAGCAGGCATCTGGGGATGGGGGAGAGGACACACACACTAGATCAGGCTCTCCCCTAAACTTAAAAAACAGAACAAAATGGTTAAAAGAAAAGAATCGCCAGACGAGAGTTTCCAGTCCTTGCCAGCCCTGGCTTGATTTCCCTGTGAGCTGCAACTTGTCGCTGAGCTCAGCTGCTTGATCCCCACCGTGCCAGCTGATCAGGAACGGTGGCTGGGGGCCAAGAGCAAATTGCCCAGCCAGCTTCCCCCCCTCCCCCAACAAATTATATTGGCAGCAAGAAACGGTTCTGAGACCATAACAGGGCCAAGTTCATTTTGCACTCCTGGGTTTTGGCCACGGGCAAGCCCCACCGTTTCGAAAGGAGTGTACCTGTACTTATCTTGTACTTTCTGCTTTATGTCTTGCAGTGAATCTTGGGATATATCTCGTTCCAGATACCCAGAAAGGACCTCGGTAGCGTTTTCCAAATCTGCTTGATTATTCTAGGGAAGCAAACAGAAACAACCCCTATGAAAGAGTTCAGGCAGGAGAGGGGAGTAGCGCTGAAACAGAACCTTGTAGGAGAATTTGCAGTAATTGAGCACTATCTGCTAGCAGACACTCATTCACTCGCCATTCACAATATACACACCGAGATATTATGTATGGCTGACAGGAAGTCTCTTCCGTCAGAAACCCTGAACTCAAATGAATACTAGCGTAGACTCCTGCAACACTAGAGGTGCAAAACTTGCCCTTTCTGTTCTTGAGGACTGCAAGACAGAAGTCACCCTGGATCATCGGGAACAGACGGCTAATGGCACATTCCCTCGACGCTGCCAACACTCTCTCTCATCGAGAAATCAGTCCTTCTGAGAGATTTATATCCATGCAAACCGCCTTATCACTCCTGCCCTGAAGATACGTGGCAATATTATAACCAGCACTGGTCTCAACGGTCAAGGATGCACTCTAAAGTTTAGTTGAGACTATGAAAAAACCTTAAATTTACCCAACTGACACCTTTACTTAATTGGCAGGGAAGCAAATTTTTTGCATTGTTTATAGCAGGGGGACCCCCGGCCTTTCTGAGACTGCGAGCACCTTTGGAATTCCAGCACAGCCTGGTGGGTGTGGCCACAAAATGGCTGCCACAGAAACATTTTTTAAAAATCTCAATAGCCAATCAAATCTCCAATAGCTAATCAAAAGCCTTGCTGGGCAAAAGCTCCACAATGGCCTCACCCACTCCCTAAAAACACTTGACAGGCACCAGGAAAGGTGTCAGCAGGCACCATGGTGCCCACGGGCACCACGTTGGAGATCCCTGGCTTACAGAGTGCATTGCTTATTTTATTGGTATTGTTTTCTTAATTTTGTGATTCAGCGTTATTGTATCTTTTATTCTGGTCTGATAGCAATGTTTTTATATTTTGTAACCTGCCTGGAGACTCGGGAGAGAAGGCAGACTATAAATCAGTAAGTAAGTTACGGATACATTTGTTGAGGAGGCTAATCCAGTCTGTTATTTTAGCAGTGAAGAAAATATTTTAAATGCCTGAGAATGATGGAGGTGTAAGCTGCAATTAAATTGGAAATTCTCGGCCTTCAGTCTTTCAAAATAAAAAGCATGTATATTGAGATTTAAGTGATGGGCATGTGGAAACTGAAATTGATTTGCTGGTTAAAGGCAGAAGTCCTTTGACCAGTTAAAGCCAGAAGTCTTTTGACCAGTTAACTGCCTAAATCATAACGTAACCAAGTACGTCACCGTGTACAGAGATTTCCTTCGGTTTCTCCCCAGCAGTGCTGCTCATACATATCAAATTGAAGCTGTCTATGTAAATCGGAACATGTTCTGAGTACTTTCTCAGGACAGAGTGTAGAAGCGGGATTAAGAAGGCACTCCACTAGTGCACCCATCCCTCTTGGATTTCACTGAGCCTGTGGGCACTTCAGGGATTTTGGGTGAAGTAGTCACAAAGTCTTAGAAGGCAGCATGCTATTCTTCTATGACGGAGACAGCTTTTTGAATGTCCACTCCCTGCAGACACAAAGGCTATGCCTTCCTGGGTTCTTCTAAAGCAGTGTTTCCCAACCTGTGGGTCAGGACCCCAAAGTGGGTCACAAAGCCTTTGAAAGTGGGTCACAGGCCATCCCTCCCTAATGGCTGCTGCTGCCTCTTGAACTGTTTTCTTTCTTCTCTTCCTCCCTGCCAACTTTTCATTAGGGGTGTGCACAAAAGACCCTCTATTTTTCGTGTTCAGGTATATTGAACCCAAAAAGTATAGGTATTTCCTGATATTCCCGAATTCCAATATCAGTATGGTGCTGGGATTCAGGAAATATTCGGGATTGCTGAATTTTTTCAGCTCCATTATACCCTATGGGGATCATTATTGTCAATGGTCCCCATAGGTTATAATGGAGAATCAATCCGGGGTATCTGGGGCTCTAGTGGGGCTGTTTTTTGAGGCAGAGGCACCAAATTTCCAGCATAGCTGCTGGTGCCTTTCCTAAAAAAAACCCCCAAGTTTAAAAAAGATTGGACCAGGGACTATGGGCCCCAGAAGAAGGCACCCCCAACCTCCATTGCTTCCAATGAAAGGGAAAAACACATTTAAATGCCTACTCAAAGCCGTGGCAGAACTCTGCACTGCTTGCCTTCTCCAAGCTGAGCGTTCACTCCAAAGAGACCTCAAAGTGGCTTTAAATGCCCTATAACTGCGGCTATCCAGTTGCCCCAAAAAATCCTGAACACTTTTGGGATTTTTGGGGTGGCCATTTTCAGATAGCCGAATCACTAGCCCCCGCAGTGATCAGCTGAGAAAATACCCCACAAATACCATATGGTATTTATCAGGTATTTTTTTGGCTGGGTTTATACCAAGCGTATACCCCTATTCACTTTCTCATCTCTCCCTTCCTTTGCAACAAATAAGGGGGGGGGCACATCCATGCAGCACCTAATAACTTTATGGTAGTAACCATAAAGAGGAAAATGCTGGAATGTTCACTGCACCGGGCAAAACAGAGCAGGAGACAAAGAGGCATGAGCATGCACGAGCTCTGTCTTGGCACTGCTCCATCGGCAGCTTAACCTTTTGGTCAAAGACTGGCATGTAGCCTCCATGTGCAAAGGCTGTGTACCTCAGAATGCCACTTGTTTGGGGGCAGCCACACTGTTAGTGCAATGATAGTGGGTTCTTCAAAATCATCCAGCAGGCCACTGTAGAAGATGGTACCCTCGACTAATTGGGCACCAAGGTCACAGTTCACCTAGGGAGCCAAAAGACCCTTGGATCAGCCCTGGATACCATACCAAATAAATTTGGACCTATGAGTTAGCACACCAAAAAGGTTGGGAATCACTGTTCTTAAGCGCCTCCTGCTCCAAGAAGGTAGCAGAAAAGCAACACTGGTTCTCTGCTTTGGGGGGAAAACGTTAACAGCCATCAGGAAACCCACTGGTGGGTGCCATGCTGTGGAGGTAGCAGATGTGCTGTGTATTTACTGATAGAGGCTTTTTAAAAAAAGTTAATTTGTATTTTGCTTTCAGCTCTCATCGCCAGCTGCACTGAGCCCTGCACAGGAGAACGCCAAGCTTTACAAAAACATCTTAAATAACCAGCACGTTGAACAAACTCCACAGGTACCAACCGATGAAGCTCAAGGAACCGATTTCCAGAAGAGACCCAGATGCTCGATTACGTGCAAAGGGCTACTTATTCTCCTTTTTGCACAGTGGGATTTCCCCCCCCCCAAGGCAGCTTCCCTTACCTCAAAGATAATGGACTGATTATTCTTTTTGAGGTAGAAGGCAAAGACGTATGTGTACATGAGTGTGGCACGGCACTGGCAGAGGACGTCGACCGCTTTCTTCAGGAACTGGACCTCGATCCACGACATGTTGTGCTGCTGCATCTCCTCCATCTTCTGCTTCACTTGGGCGTAGAGCTTGTGCTCGAAGCGCAGGCTCTGCATGTGGTTCATATAACGGTTGCAGTAGAAGAGGTACCTCTGCAGGGCCGCTCTGGATCGCTGTGTGAATTCCCATTAGGGGGAAAAAGGGGGAAATCGAGCGTCACAACACAGTAGCAGAAACCAAAGCCAGCTGACACTTGGGAGCACCGTCAGTAGGAGGACAAAGACTGAAGGGTAGCGGGGGTGGGGGGAATTGGGACTGAAAGATGCAGTCTAAATTCAAGCCTACTAAATTCAAGCATGAGGCTAAAACCTAGCAAGCAGGCATCCAATTCAACTTTTAAAAAACACACCCAAAACTTGCATTTTAAAAACCTACCCAGGGAAACACACACACACACCCCGCGATATTGTTGAGTTTGGAAGTGCGGCAGTACACCATGATCTTGGAAGCCACAAAGCTGTGCAGCAAGTTGAATGGTACTATCACATACTACGATGACTGATCATAAAGCACCTAAGTAGGCACTATCCAACAATATATTAAACATAAGAAGACCTTCCCAGTGGTGTACAATCAGAGGAACACGGCGTAAGGAAGGCAAAGGGCAAAAGGAAAGCTGAGGCAGCAATTAGAGGTCAGACCATACCTAGAGAGAGGTGGTGTATTTTAAATACTGTTATAAGGACAGAAAAGTGCACATACCTGAGGAGGGGAAGAGCTGGGGGAGGGAGAGCAAAAGAGGGCGGAGGCACAAAAGAGGAGCCGTAATCCAAGGCTTAGTCGAGAGGGAAGTATTACACCAGGGATGGGGGGGGGAGAGGCAAGGCAGGGAAGCAGGGGGAGATTTCAAAAACAAGAAGCAGCAGCTTAAATGTAATCCAATAAGGAACCAGAAGCCAGAGAGGTGGGGGAGGTCGCACGTTCTCAAGCATTCTGTCTAGCTCTCTGCTTCACTCCGTAACTAGCAAAAGCAAATGCTTCCCCCATTCGCATTGTTTACACAGGTCAGATTTCCCCGTGCCACAATCTGAGCAAACAGGTCACAACGCACACTTTTTGATAGGAACACTGCAGGTACAATGGGTCAATGAACACCAATAATTCAACCCTATTGCCTTTCTCCCAGGTACTCGGGGTGGCATACATCAGTCCCAGGTACTCGGGGTGGCATACATCATTCCCCCTTCGCTCAGTTTGCCATGGATGCTCTGGGAAGGGAATTCCTTAGGTGGGGTGTGTGAGTGTGGAGTGTGTGGCTGCACTATCCTATAGGAGCATAACTCTTAAGAAGAAGTCTTTCTCTGGTTCACAGAGAAATGTCCTTGAATCTTCTGGTGCCAGCTTGCTTAGTAGATAATGGGACCATATATTTCCCATGTGAAAGGGGGGTTTAGAGACGCTGGAGCTAGGCGGTGTGAATGTGACATATGAGTGGGTCTTAGGAGGGGTTACATTTTAATTACTTCTTATCTTTGTACCTGCCAAAATTGTTAAATCTGACACAGTTCTTTTAATACCTGGAACTTGTTTATATCTCAATAGAGCCTTTCACTGGAAAATACATTGTGGTTGAGTGTAACTTGCCCAGATGTCTGACAGGAGTGGTGAATCAAACCTGGTTTTCTCCAGATTAGAGTCCTGCCGTTCTTAACCACTACACCAAACTGGCCATACAGGTGGTCTTCCCATCCAAATACACCACAAATTGAGGCTATTGGCAAAGCGGGATGAGAGAAAACCCTAAGAAATAAAAGCTTGAGGGGGAAAAACCCTAGCAAAGCCCTTTTCCTAGATCATCCAGGGGATGCACCGTGCTGAGAAACTCCAGCTCGTGTTTTCTTGTTTACAAGCCGGCCAGAATTCTGACACGGAGAAATTACTCACATTAGTGTATTCAGAAGGATCTGCATGGGCGGCTATGCCGGGAGAGGCTAGTCCGGCCGTTTTGTGAACTATGGCCTGACCTGTCGAGACCGGTGCTGTCTCCAGCTGTGGAGTCTTGTGAGCAAAAATTCTACTTTGTGAGCTCCCAGCATTGAAGTCGTGAGCGAGCGATTTGGCTGCTGCATAAATTAGTTTGCTCTGGAGCCGTCCTTCCGGAGCTTAGGCAAAAAGGTGTGAGTCGGAGGCTAAAAACGGTGAGCTAGCTCACACTAACTCAGCTTAGAGGGAACACTGGCCGAGACTCAATACAATAAATAATCAGGGCCAGAGGCAAACACCCCTGAAGAAATTCTAGCCCAGGCTTCCCCAACCATTTCTGGCCTGTGGGAACCTCTGGATCACTTACACAGGGCAGTGGGCGCAGCCACAAAATGGCTGACACAAAAGAGTTGCCACAGGAGGCAGCGCCAGCCAGGAAAGGGCTACCATGGCTTATCAGCCAGCGAAGATCCTTGTGCTGTGGTAGCAGCTGCTGCCAAAGCAAAAGCCTTCAAAAGCAATCCGAAGGCTAATCAGAAGCCTTGCTAGGCAAAAGCCGAAACGACCCCGACCTGCTTTCTAAAACCGCTTGGTGGACACCAGGAAAAATATCAGCAGCACCATGGCACCGACGGGAACCATGTTGGAGGCCCCCTTCTAGCCAGTCCAGAGTGTCCTAAATCAAAGTGGTTTTGTCTTGGTCTTTGCCAAGAGTTATGGACTCACCTCTTGTGCATCCCTGGCTGCCTTTGCGTCATCCTCATTGTAGCGATTGCAGTTGTACCTGGAAGAGATGTTACAAAGGAATCTTCTCTGAAAAAGCAACTCTTTTAATTGAGCAATGTAAGAATAAGCCCCTCCAATACCCTTCCCAGGCCTTAAGGCCTAAACAGGAACAGCAGTTCACTACAGAGCAGCCTGGGTTTGTTCACCCTAAAAAAGGGGGCATATGCATGTGTCTGCAGTCCAGACATGCCTATCATTCTGAGCCTCTGTGCTTCCAAAGAACCAAACCAGGAGGGTACAATTAGACCCACAAGAAACAGCTGAGATACAACTCCTCAACCTACCAGGCAGACCCATGTGGCTCCCAAGGGCCAAGACACACCCAGCAGAACTCTGCTTTACAATTCTGGTTCCGACACACCATGTGATTACAGCCGCCATCCTTCTCTATGGTCACATGGCATTTGGGACATTCCTGCAAGAAAAAAAAAATGAGGGGGGGAAAACTGGGATGGCGTTCCCTTGTTTTAGCCAGCTTATTTATTTCCATATATGGGGAAGTGCAGACAAAAGTGACATCATGGTACAAGAAGATCGATTCCTCTGATTATGCATCCATTCACCAGCCAGCTTTCTGTTGATGCCTTAGCAGGCTAATGCAAATATATAAACACTCATGAATGAAATGACACACATGGCAGTCGTTCTTCCACTCATGAAGTAGATTTTGTGGGGAAAGCAGCTGCACACATGAAGCTGCCTTACTATGAGCCAGACCTTTGGTCCATCAGTATTGCCTACTCAGACTTGCAGCCAATGCTCCCTCTAAGTTGTGGGCCCTTGTGAGCAGAAATTCTACTTTGTGAGCCGCTGGCATTAAAGTTGTGAGCGAGCAATTTGGCTGCTGCAGAAATTAGTCTGCTCTGGAGCCATCCTTCCTGAGCGAAGACAAAAATGTGTGAGCCAGAGGCTAAAAAACTGTGAGCTAGCTCACACTAACCCAGCTTGGAGGGAACTCTGCTCGCAGCAGCTTTCCAGGGTCTCAGGTGGAGGTCTTTCCCATTACCGACTTCCTGACCCTCTTAACTGGAGATAGATCAAGACAGGCAGCCACGGTAGTCTGTCTGTAGCAGCAGAAAAGAGCAAGAGTCCAGGAGCACCTTCAAGACTAACAAAATCTGTGGCAGGGAGTGAACTTTCATCAGTCACTGCTCACTTCTATCTGAAGACGTGCGCACTGACTCACAAAAGCTCGTACCTTGCCATAATTTTTTTTTTTAGTCTCGAAGGTGCTCCTGGACTCTTAACTGGAGATTCTGGGGACTGAACTTGGGACCTTCCGGATACCAAGCAAATAGCTCTACCACTGAACCACGGCCCCTTTTCACGTGCCTTAAAGTAGGATTCATACAGTGAGAGATTTAAATGCTTATTCTTCGTATTGGTATTCTGAAACCGTTAAATCTAGACTGCATTCTAGTCTTTTGGGAACGGGTGCAGAAATATTTTGCTTCCACTGCACCGCATGAACCTACCTGGGACACGGTGCGGGTGCAAGTTCTTTCAACCTGTACCCATACTGATGCTTTGGTAACCTTCAATTCAGGTTACCAAACTGCTTTTCACAACTGTGCTAAGCGGAAGCACTGAGTATCACATGCAAGTTGCGACCCCCTCACTAGAAACACCGGCAGTTTTGACATCTGACAGTGCCTCTGAATGGGAAAAGCAGAACTAGTGTACAACAGAGCACCTGACCAGGGACTGAGAGAAAGAGAAGCCCAACCTTTGTGTTTGCTGCAATCCAGTTAGAAGTTTCACTGTCGTCATCACACTTCTTAATCCACTTCTTCAACCACTGTTTGGAACCGGAAGGGGGAGAGAGAGAGAGAGATTTCCAGAATGTCACAGTGACTGGTAGCACCAAATTTTAAAGGCTATCCTACAAAAACATCTGCACCCCGCTGCTCAGAGCATGTGGATGAAAAAGAGCCACACCCCAAGACAGTACAAAAGAATGCCAAAAAGAAAAGAAAAACGTATACGCTAGGTGAAACCCCATCTGGATACTGGCCCCAGGTGAGAAGGGTCGAGGTGGTGAGCTCCAGGTCAAAGGAAGGCACCTCCTAGCATACAAGACCATTTTGCTCACTGTGCCGGGTCAGTCCAAGCAGAGTCCCGAGGCACTGAAGCTCAGCTTGATCCCCCTGTGGGCCTGGCCAAGTACAACCCTTGTGTCTCCCACCCCACTCTTGTTCACTGGCACATCTTCAAGCAGACACCGCAGGGTTGTTTTTTGATAGTCAGGGCCAAAAGGGCTAACTATCGGTGTTCTAGATCGCTCTGCACCAGGAAATCTGTACCGCACACCTTCAACAAAAAAACCCTGTATTTAGTGCCTTTCTTTTGGAAGGAAAACACTTGGTGCTACTTATTTTCTGCGTCTTCATCAACATTTCAATTATTAATTTGGACTTCTACCCCAGTGGGTGACATGCAACTTTAAAAGTTCCTGGGGCCCTGACCTGGATGGCCCGGGGCAAGCCCAATTGCATCAGATCTTGGAAGCTAAGCAGGGTCGACCCTGGCCAGTACTTGGGAGACTTCCTTGGAATACCAAGTTGGGAGGACAGAGGCAGGCTTTATTCAGCCTCCTCTCTGAATATCCTCCAGGCCCCCAGTAGAGACCAGTCACCAGAGGTTGTCATGACTTCCAGGTGTGCACACAGTCAGCACACACACGCACATATGAAAAAATACAAAAAAGCTCCTGGGAAATGTCTCCTAAAGATGCCATCGGCACAAGCTATCCATACAGAACCTTCCCAATGGGAACCCTGAACGCTGACATTTCCCGAACAAGCACACCACCACCAGGACGTTTGAGCAGTATTACATTACTTCCCAACTCTGCTCTGAACAACTGGCGTGGGTAAAAGCTTACACGCTCACCTTACACTTAACAGGATCGTGCCAGTTTTCACCACAGTTAAAGCTGTAAGAATGAAAAAAGAAGTTATATATACATAGTCGAGGCACAGCAGAACTCGGCAGATTACTCAAATGCAGGCCTACGTAACCTACTGCGGCCCTTGCAAGTATGCAAAGCAAAGAAGAAGAAAAAAATTGGTGCAGTGGGGAAAAGATTACTGGCTGTGGGCACACGGGCAGGAAAATGCGGGGGAGAAGCGTGGCTGTTTGCCCCGGGGATAAAAACCGTAGTTAAAGCTGTAAGAATGAAAAAAGAAGTTATATATACATAGTCGAGGCACAGCAGAACTAGGCAGATTACTCAAATGCAGGCCTGCATAACCTACTGCGGCCCTTGCAAGTATACAAAGCAAAGAAGAAAAAAATTGGTGCAGTGGGAAAAAGATTACTGGCTGCGGGCACACGGGCAGGAAAATGCGGGGGAGAAGCGTGGCTGTTTGCCCCGGGGCTAAAAACCGCGCGGTTGCGCGAGCAGATCTACCGTGGAGGTCCCATGGAGGTCCCGTGGTAGGGGGGAGGTGCCGATCACTCCACAGTCCTGTGGCGCGGCAAAGAAGCGGGGCGCGGGGCAAACGGGATTGTTGTTGTTTTTTTAAACTGAAATGTGTGCATGCTCCCTTGGGTGCTTGTGCGCATCCGTGGAGACTTTGAAAAAAACAAAACCTTTTTGCAAGGGGACATGGGCAGGCGTCGGAACTACCACGGGAAACGCGATCAGACGCCCGCCCTTGCCCCGTGGTTTTAGGAAACTAATACCTCCAAGGTACTAGTTTTTCACCCCCCATCTTCCGCGGGAAGCCTCGGGTTCGCCACAGGAGCTCAACGCTTCCCAGATGTGGCGAAGAGATCGCACCCGGAAAATCCGCCTATCTTCCGTCCCTCTAGCGTGCCTAATGCTCCGTGTGACTGCAGCCACTATAGTTCACTCAAAGATCCCACAGGTCTTGTATGCTGCTTTGTCAGGAGGTCTATTAAACAACAAGGTGGGAACACTCCGAGATATAGTTGTTTTCAGGGCCGGCATCAGTGCACACGGAGGGGGGCAGCTTCCAGGGCCCAGGGCTTTGGTTGGGGTGGGTCCCACTGCCACCAACCCCCATCCCCACACCGTGTCTGTCTGTCCTTCCCACACCTTCTCACAAGTCATCCACTTTGTTGTCGTTCAGTCACACAGTCGAGTCCGACTCTTCACAACCCCATGGACCACATCACATCAGGCCCGCCTGTCTTCCGTCGTGCTCCGGAATTTGCTTAACTTCATGTTTGTTGCCTTGATAACACTGTCTAACCATCTCATCCGTTGCCATCCCCTTCTTCTGTTACCTTCAATCTTTCCCAGCATCAGGGGCTTCTCCAGTGAGTGCTCCCTTCTCATTTGGTGGCCAAAGTATTTAAGCTTCTGCTTCAGTATCTGGCCTTCCAGGGAACAGTCAGGGTTGATTTATTTTAGGATTGACTGATTTGATCTTCTTGCAGTCATCCACTACCCATTATTTATTTACTTAGCCATCAAGTCTCAGCCAACTTATGGTGACCCTGTAGTGTTTTCAAGGCAAGAGACATTCAGAGGTTGTTTTCCACTGCCGGTTTCTGCATAGAGACTCTAGATTTCCTTGGCGGTCTCCCATCCAAATACTAACCAGGGACGACCCTGCTTTGCTTCCAAGATCTAATGAGATTGGGATAGGCTGGACCACCCAGGTCCAGGGACCACTACCCATGCTGCCAGCTAAATGTGCCACCCAGAAGAGCATGCTGGTGGTACACGGCAGCAGTGCTCCTGGCAGCCATGATGGCAGCACCTCAGCTATGTGCACTCACTGCCTAGTGCCATCAGGCAAAGGACATGCAGGATGTCTGGACAGCTGTTGAGTCCAGGTGGTGGGAAGGCTTGCAAGCAGGGGAAGAACACACAGGAGGGTGGGGGGACATGGGTGGGTGTCAAAAGCGAGGTGCCACCAGTGGGGTCTAGTGGTAGGGAGACATGGGCACTCTCTGTGGGCTCACTCCCGCACCTTGAACTGGCCCTGGTCATTTTAAAGAACCCCTGATGAAGCAGCGTGTGAAATGCCTAGGATCTGAGCCAACCTGAAAAACCTTTTTTCTCCCATGCACCATCATTTTTTTCTTCTCTGCTTTGATTCTGATATCAGCGGGCCTCCCTTGTTCTGCACCCCTCAAGTACCTGACAAACCCATCTCCGTGATCTCAGCCAGTCTGACTGAATTTACCACACACACACACACCCCAATGGGACCAATCGTCATGCTGCTCTATTGCACGGGAAGGGCTACCAGGTTCCAAGAGGGCCAGGCTTTTCAGTTTAAGCTGTCCGAAACAGTCACATCCCACACACACACAACACTCGAGAAATGTTTACTTACCAAAACTGACGCCCACATTTACAGCGAACGGGCTTAGCGTCAGGGTACTGCACTTTTACAACATGGTGGCAGTCGGGGGCAGGACACCATTGCCAGGGGACGTGTAACTTTTCAGTTTAAGCTGTCCAAAACAGTCACACCCCACACACACACACTCGAGAAATGTTTACTTACCAAAACTGACGCCCACATTTACAGCGAACGGGCTTAGCGTCAGGGTACTGCACTTTTACAACATGGTGGCAGTCGGGGGCAGGACACCATTTTAACAGTCGATTGCACTGGAAGGAGAAAGCACAGAAGTGCTGACACGGTGGAAGTCCAGAAGAAAACAACAACATAACCCAGTTCAGCCCTCTCCTTTCCATCTCCCCGGGATTCTTCTAACTGAACTTCACGGCTACAGGGAAAAGCCACGACTCCTGTTCTAATACAGAGAAACAACCACTAGGCAATTCCCCAGGATCAGTTCTTTTGCACTTAACCAAAGCAGTCCTAAACTACTTTCAATTTTGGTTTTATATTTTTGAATGTTTGCCATGTATTTTATTAATATTGTTAGCTGCCTTGAGCTCCATAGGAAGAAAAGTGGCTAATGAATATTAAGCCCGGTAAATCCAGAGCACCACGTTGCTCTTCCCCTCCTGCCATCTTTACTTAAGACCATCAATGATACAAACTAGAGCCAGGAAGGCATGCCAGGGATAAGAACAGAAGGGACACTTTCCAAATGCTACATTCTCATTCCTCCAAGGGCTTGAGAAGACACTGGCGCCTGCAGCAGAAGATGCCGTTTCAAAATCCTGCTTGGGACGGCTTTCACCAGCCAAGACTAAAATTCTGAATTTGCAGCTCAAACTAAGCAAAAGAGTTCTGTGGCAAGGAGCTTTGAGAAACTGCGCGGCTGCCGACTGCATCCAGCGGAGATCTGGGGGAGGGGCCGGCCCTGCGGTATCCACACGCGGCCCAACGCTGAGGTTATGCAAGCCCCTCCACCAATGGGCCTCCTGGCAAATTTTTGCATGGCTCAGCATTACAATCATTAACCCCTGGCCGTGGGCCAAGCCTCATTCATAAAGGCTGCATTGAAGCCCACATGTGCTGTGATTTTGCAACCCCTCTCCAGATTCAGCACCGCTGGCGTTTTGCAAATGGAACTCATATGGTCTTCATTAGGCAAGGAAGCAGCCGGCCACGTTGTTGTGTTCATCCCCTGAAGCTTTACAGTCAGGGACACACACACACACACCCAACAGATCCATCAGGGTATCACACCGACTGTTACCGCTGGATTCGGTTTGCAAGCAGCCAGGCTTTTCAAGAGGCGCCGAAAACAAATGCCTACTTATTCCCCGAGGGCCGGCCATGAATCAAAAGTTCAAAATGCCCGCTGCCAGAGTGATGACTGGCATCCAGAAATTATTAGAGACGGCAATTCATGGCGCAGCCTTGGGCGGAGACCTGGGATTTCAGGTCCCAGCTTCAGGATGCTGCCACAAAAGCAAGATTCCAGCAATTCCGATTTCAGGAAGTGGTGCATACTTATACAATTTCTTCCATTAGTAGTACAATTGTAGCATCAAAAACTTAGCTCAAATAGGTTTCACGGAATAAGGGCTTTAAGCTTGTTAATAGAAAATGTAGTCTCCTGCACACGTTACCTCCTACACACATTTGTATCGAAGTCTGATTCCACCCCCGCCCCCCCCCCAAACCAGTACACACGAAGGGTTGCAGACCGCTCCAGGTACAGAGGGGTGGTCAGTAATGTTCCCTCTAAGCTGTGGAGTCTTGTGAGCAAAAATCCTACTTTGTGAGCTCCTGGCATTAAAGTTGTGAGCGAGCGATTGGGCCGCTGCATATATTAGTTTGCTCTGGAGCCATCCTTCCTGAGCCGAGACAAAAATGTGTGAGCTGGAGGCTAAAAAACTGTGAGCCAGCTCACACTAACTCAGCTTAGAGGGAACACTGGCAGTCAGTCTCTGAGTCCCAGTGCCAGGAGGCAGCATCAGGGGAAAGTCTTGGCCTCTGTGCCCTGTTGTTGACTTCTGGAGGAACTGGCTGGCCAGTGTGTGAGACAGGAGGCTGGACTAGATGGACCACTGGTCTGATCCAGCAGGGCTCTTCTTACATGTTCCTATGAAGGCCTTGGCCTCCATGCCCTGTTGTTGGCCCTCCAGAGGAACTGGCTGGCCACTGTGTGAGACATGAGGCTGGACTAGGTGGACCACTGGTCTGACCCAGCAGGGCTCTTCTAATGTTCTTAAGCATCACAGTCAAGTCTTTTCAACATTGGCAATTCACACTCACCTCTACAAAACTATTAGTTATTAAATGCTGGTACTTTAATTTAACTTTTGAGTCTGTGATCAGGCGCCTAGGAAGAGAAGAGAAGAACATTTCATTAAAAAAAGAAAAGAAATTTCTTTACAATCAAAGAGATCAGTGGCTCCTTTATTTTGAACCACGAGTCCAAGACTTTCAGATCAAAGGGCATCACTTCAAACAAAAAGCACAATAAAATGAACTGGGGGAAAAACACAAAACAGGAAAGAGAGCAGCCAAAATTATTCTGCAGCCAACAGTTACAACAAGGGCAGACTGGGCACAGAAGGCCAAGGGGGTTTTAAGGCCTCCTTGAAAAAGGCAACATCCTGAATCCAGCGTGACATCAGGGTGGGCTGCTGCTTCTTCAGTCTAACATTTGCTTCAGCAGTGTTTAGGGACCTGGTACACAGATCACTAAAAGATCCTCTGTGCCAGAGACCTTAGAGCGGGGACAAACGCGATATTGTTCGTCAGGGACAACAGAACCCAGGACACCCGCCCATCTTGCAGATTTCTACATGACTGTACTCCCAGCACTACAGAGACACACAAAACCTTTTCCTTTGAATCCCTTGCCTGGAACTGGAAGTTAACGGGGTGCTTTTAAAACCAAGCCTGTTTGAGGAGCAGATTAAATCCCCCCCCCACGCACACTCCGTCTCTGGAAAGCATCCAAAACACACACTCTGTTTTACTCATTACTGCTTGCTATTGTCTACCGTTTTGTTCAGAGTCCAGAACCTGTTTCAGATAACAGCAATTATGGGTAATCTTTATTTTTGAAACCGGCAAGACGGCACTTAATTTAACAGGGGGCTTCCTAACTGCTTGGAAGACAAAACCGGAAACCGGGCAGAGCACAAATGTCATGACAAAGCACAGCACAGTGGTTACAGCTGGGGGTCCCCAACCTTTTAAAGCCTGAACTCCCCCCCCCCCCCCTGACGCTGCACGGTAGGTGCAGTCACAAAATGCCTGCCACAAAAAGGCTGCTGCAAAAGACAAGGCCAGCCACAAAAGACTGCTGCACTTTACCTCAGAAACAGATCCAGATGGGTAGCCGTGTTAGTCTGTCGGTAGCAGCAGAAAAGAACAAGAGTCCAGGAGCACCTTAAAAGACTAACAAAGTGTACTGGTAGGGTAGGAGCTTTTGTAGATCACTGCTCACTTCTTCATACTGAAGCGGTGACCCACGAAAGATCCTACACCTGCCACAGATTTCAGTAGTCTTTTAAGGTGCTACGAGACTCTTGCTCTTTTCTGCAGTTTACCTTCATTCGTTCGGTGGAGACCCTTATGCTGCGGTGGCAGCTGGTGCCAAAGAAGTGTTTTCAAAATCTGTGCAACCAATCAGATCTCCAGCAGTCAATCAGAAGCCTGGCTGGGCAAAAGACCCACCTGACCAATGCTCCCTCTAAGCTGTGGAGTCTTGTGAGCAAAAATTCTGCTTTGTGAGCTACTGGCATTAAAGTTGTGAAAAAGCAATCTGGCTACTGTGCAAATCAGCTTGCTCTGGAGCCCTTCTTCCTGTGCTGAGACAAAAATGTGTGAGCCGGAGGCTAAAGAACTGTGAGCTAGCTCACACTAACTCAGCTTAGACCCCACCCCCCTTTCTAAAAACACTTGGTGAGCTGCAGAAAAGGTGCTGGTGGGCACCGTGTTGGGGACCCATGACTTAGATCCACCTATGAGAGGCAATGAGGAATATTAAGAGTCCCCCTTGAACAAAAGGCTGGCCAGGAGGTGATGCTCTGCATCCTTGGTGCTTGGGGGGGAGGGGCAACAGTGGGAGGGCTCCTAGTGTCCTGGCCCCACTAGTGGACCTCCTGAGGGCACCTGGTATTTTTGGCCACTGTGTGACACAGAGTGTTGGACTGGATGGGCCATTGGCCTGATCCAACATTGGCGTCTCTTATGTTCTTATGTTCTCTGCTGATCTCCCACCTAACCCTTGCTGGAACAGCAGAGGTTCAAGTCACCCACAACCCTGTCAAGCGGGTCAAAGCCAAGCAACTCCGATGGGCTCAAGGTCACCAAGGGGGGCTTCATGACTGAGTGAGGATCTGAGCCCAGACTTCCCCAGTCCTTCTCAGGGACTTTCACCAGCATCTTGCACGACCGCTGTAGACCACCTCCCCTTCTCCCTCACTCTTATTCTGAAAGGCAAAAGAACGTGAAGCTGCTAGGCCACAAGCCAGGACACCGTGAACCGGTGCGCTGGGAATAAAACCCACAAAACTAATTTCCTTGCTTCTGTAGACTGGACATTCTTCTAAGCGCTGCACTAACAGATCAAATTACGTACAAAGGGGCTCTAAAGAAACTAAGCAGCATGCGGTGTTTCCCGTTTCTAAGCTAGCAATCACCGGTTAGGTATGTGCTGTTCTGAGGTTAAAGCGGTTCATTAGGAAGTGCAAGCTAGAAGCAAAAAAAAAAAAAGGACTAGGTTACAAAAGCCACTTATAACTTTCAGCATCAAGAGATGCTGCAGAAAAGAATAATCTACCAGATGCATCGGATGCACAGCTGCATGAAAAGGGGCCTACGCAACACTTGGGAAAAGCTTCGAGAAGAACAATGAAATGCAAGAGTGCCAGATGAACTATGCACCAATAAAGTAATACGCAATGAGGGCTTACTAAGGAAACACCCCCTCTACAAGGAGATTATTAGATGTTTACAAAATTAAGCATGGGATACAGAAGGCAGAGAATGAAGTACGTATCCTCCCTTTCTCACAACACAAGAACTCCTGGGCACTCCACAAAATTAATGAGCAGGAGGCTTAGAACAGATAAAAGGAAGTACTTCTTCACCCAAAGAGTGATTCACACATGGAATTCACTGCCACAGGAGGTGGTGGCAACTACAAGCACAGACAGCTTCAAGAGGGGGGATTGGATAAACATATGGAGCACAGCTCCATCAGTGGCTATTAGCCATAAGGTATAGATGGAACACTCTGTCTGGGGCAGTGATGCTCTGTCTTCTTGGTGCTTGGGGGGCCACAGTGGGAGGGCTTCTGGAGTTCTGGCTCTGCTGGTGGACCTCCTGATGGCAACTGGGTTTTGGCCACTGTGTGACACAGAGTGTTGGACTGGATGGGCCATTGGCCTGATCCAACATGGCTTCTCTTATGTTCTTATGTAGTTACTGACAGCATTAAATGGTATGGCTCACCAAAATAAGTTACCACGTGAGGCACACAATTGTGCAGACCAATTTTTTGAAAAGAGCTCATGCCTCACATGTTGATACGGCTCATAAGAGGAATACCTTCTACAGACTACTACAGGAGGAGGTAGAGGCACTTCTGAAAGAGCAGGTATTGTTCTCAGGCAGGATATGGCCACAAAAGCTCTCGGCGTGTTGCATGGAAAACATAAGATGCAAGCAAAGCTGAATGAGATGGTAGAGCAGAAGTATTTTTAGGATTTATGAGGGCTCACAGGGCAATGTTCATGGTTCTCAAGGTCACCATGGAAACAAGCAACACTGAACCCATGTTCAAGACTGATGGCACAGTCTTTAGACAGTACCAGTTTGAACCCATCAACTCCCACAAGTTTGTTGTCTTAACAGAGGAAGGATTATTATTCAATCACCCATCAAGCAGCGACACTTACATAACTGTATTGTCATCCACCAAGATATCACAGCCATGAGCAGGGCATGAAATTGTGGAAAGGGAAAGAAAAAAAGCAGTCAGGCAGAGCATTCTCTTTGTTCTGGTCTCAGTGAAGAGACTCTAAAACCCACAATAGGGCTGCCAACCTCCAGGTGGAGCCTGGAGTTCTCCTGTAATTGCTACTGCTCTCCAGACTACAGAAATCAGTTTCCCTGGAAAAGGTGACTGCTTGGGAAGACGGACTGCATGTCACTATGCCCCTGTGAGGTCCCCTCCTAATGCTCTGTCTTCTCTAGGCTCCACCCCCAAATCTCCAGGAATCTTGCAGCTTGTTGTTGGCAACCCTACAGGCTGTGTACCCTGCACAGTACACACATAGCAGTTAGGTTTCTGAAAGGCCAAGATCTTCTGAGCTGAAAAAGCTAACTCTAACTTATTAATTTACATAAGCTGGAACAAAAAGCCATTTGCTCCGACCATTACCCACCCACCCCAATTCCCGAGCCAAAATCCACAGCATATTCCTCCCCCAATAAAAGTAATAACGGAAACAGAATTTTACCTGTCCCATGCCTTCCTCCATTATTTTGGTAGTTAAATACTCACTCCAGCACTGCATACAAAACTTGTGTCCACACTCTAAGCCAGTGAAATACTGGGGAGAGAGAGAGAGAGAGACTGAGATGACATTATATTCACCCACTCCTGGTTTTGTTCTGTTTACTATCGGACTTCCTTCACTGCAGAATGAATGCCCTTTCAAAAACAGCAAAGTCTTCAATCTTGGTCATGCTAGTGACATTTCCCGGTATTTGTTCACCCAACTGCCCTCAGTTCCTCAGCCAACAACTTATCACCTTCAGTATACAGGTTCGATTTGAAGGTCAAGCAGCAAGTGAAGAGTAGATCCCATCTTTGATGCCTCAGCTTGGAAGAGTGTGAGAACAGGAGAACCAGGGTCCAGATTCTTAACACGTGTTAAGGTAACGTGAAGACCCATCAAAGAGATTCGTTCCACCAGAAAACTGTTTAGTGTAGGACCTAAACAAAGATATATCCCATACTGGTGAAGGGAGATAAGGAGGGACAATTTGCTATGAGGATTGAAGGGGTAGTGGTTGCAATGTGTTGGGAAAAAACAGGTTGCTTACCTGTAACTGGTGATCTTCGAGTGGTCATCTGTGCATTCACATCCATGGGATCTAGTGCGCACGCGCTGGATCGATCGGTGCTGTAGCAAGCTCTTTTAACGGATTTTCGCGCCCAGACCTCGGGCATGCGCAGGCACCCCACTGCGCATGCCCAGAGGGGTGGGCGTGGACATCTCGCCAGTTCCTTCAAACCACCGCAAATCAACCCCTATTGAAAATGTAGACGCTGACAGCAGCGGGGAAGGAGGGCGGGTGGTGTGAATGCACAGATGACCACTCGAAGATCACCAGTTACAGGTAAGCAACCTGTTTATCTTCGACGTGGTCTCTGTGCTTCACACCCATGGGAGATTTGGGAGCAGTGGCCTACCTGGAGGAGGGTGCTGGCAGGTCCTTGCAAGTGCCTGTAGTAGACTTGAATGGATTTTTCATATGTTAAAGGACTTTGGAATAAGAGAACCTGTACCTGTACTTATGTTTGAAGATAATCAGGCTTGTATTACCATATGTAAGGAAGAAAGCACCACAGCTAGAAGTAGATCAATTGGTATTAAGTGTGCTTTAGTGAAGGATTTGTACCAGAAGAAGCTGATAGATATTGAGCATTGTCGTACAGAAGAAATGGTGGCTGACATTCTGACTAAGCCACTGACCAAAGAGAAATTTGAACGTCTACGTAAAATGTTGAATATGATTGGTACAAATGTTGAATTGAATAATTAATAATGTTTTTGTATGTATGACTTACATGTCAGACCTTGAGAAGGGGTGTTGGAAATGTATGTGTTTACAAGGTCTGATTCAGTCATTATAGGGTTAACTTGTATTCCTAGTTTGCTATTGTTTAGACTGACCTGGAAGGGATACCTGGCACTAAGCCAATGGGGGATTTGCCCGGGAAAAGTAACTTCTATTTTGATGCAGATTGGTCATTTGTTCCAGGTGACTTCCTTTCTAGGGGTCAAGAAGAAGGAGGAAATCTCCATTACGTGTGTGCTTGTCTTCAGTATAGGAAGCTTAGAAATGTAGCTCTTAGTGTTTTGTTAATTTGTAGCAATCCCGTGTACCTTTTCCCTTAGAATAAAGTATTTTTAAAAAGCAAAGAAATCTCTTCTTTCCAATAGAGCAAGATCCATCAAATAGTCTGAGTATTAAACAATTTTTGACTATTTACAACAGGAACAAGAAGGTTGATGGAGAGGACCATGTAGCAGCATTGCAGATGTCATCTGGGGCAAGCCCCCCAGGAAAGCCTCAAAGGTTAACACAGCTCTCATGGAACAGGCTTGAAGCTGGGTAGGTAATGGTTGTTTTGCCAGTTTATAACATAAGGAGATGGTGGATGTAACCAATGTTCCCCCTAAGCTGTGGAGTCTTGTGAACAAAAATTCTACTTGCTGAGCTACTGGTATTAAAGCTGTGAGCGAGCGATTTGGCTGCTGCATCAATTAGTTTGCTCTGGAGCTCTCCTTCCTGAGCTAAGACAAAAATGTGTGAGCCAGAGGCTAAAAAACTGTGAGCTAGCTCACACTAACTCAGCTTACCCACTTTGCTAGTCTCTGGGGCAATACTCTATGAACTTTATTGGGCTGAGATTGCCATAGGCCACAAAGAGGTGGGTTTTTTTAATGTGTTCTAGCAAGGCAGAAAGAGAGGGCTTTATGAACGTCAACAGAGTGTAATGCCCGCTGGCCCTCATCTGTCAAATCTGGGAAAAAGGAAGGCAACACTGTGGGCTGTGAAAGGTGGAATTTGAAACCACATTTGGTAGAAAGGATGGGTCGGGGCACAGCACAACTTTGTCCCTGTGAATGATGGTATAGGGGGAGTCAATCTGGGAAGCAGAGATTGCTGGACCTCTTCACTGAGGTGATTACGATCAGGAATGCTGTCTTCCAGGTGAGGAGATGGAACGCAGTGGTTGCCATTGGTTCAAATGGTTTGCCCATTGATTTGACTAGGACCAGAGACAGACTCTACTCAGGAATAAGGGGTTTCCAAGGGGGATGGAGCCACAACATGCCCTTGGTTTTGTTTTTGTTTTTAAATTGGAGGGGTTTTTTTAACTTAGTTTACGCATGCGCATAGGCAGCAATCCACAGAATGGCGATCTTCACGCATGCAGAAAACACCCCGTCCAGAAAAGCATGCCCTGAAGAGAGGACTTACCTTTAAAGTTTAAAGAGCAAACTGGCCTGAGGTCCCGGACTCCTCTAAAACGTTAAACTAAGGACCTTTTCTTTTTTTTTAACAAATGCTGGGGCGAAGCTTCGCCCAAGCGCATATCGCCGACCTAAAAAAAAAAAGCCGGGCGAAAATCGGAAGCCTTGGGCTTCCGAACGGAAGTAGCTCTACAACGGTGGAGAGCGATCAGACGGGGGGGGGGGGTTAAAGCGATTACAACCATTGCACTCAGGATACCACCACTTGGGGACCTAGTGGCAGAATACAACGGTTTAAAGCTCTTTGCAACGGTTAGGGACGGAAGGCAGATGTTCGCCGTGTGAACGCCGGTAAGTACACCGATTCCAACTGGTCCCTATACCGTTGTAAATGCCCCATCTGAATGCACCCTATATAGATTGTGCGCATACATTTGCTCATAGGCTCAAAGGTAAAGCTGTTTGAATCGCCTGTTGTGAGAGAGAGGTTTTCACATAGAAGGTACTGAACTGCATTTCATGCTAATGAGTTTGCAGACACACAAACACAGCTACTAAGCCTTATGGGAAGAAGAAGCACATTTCGCCATTGTTAGTAGGAAATACAGCTTAAAAAGACAAGTATTCCCCCATTGCTCAGAGACTCGGTCATGTTTTACACGGAGCTAATCTGCATCTGAATTGTCATTTCCTGGTGGAGGTGCCTTGAGTGCTTGGGAAAGCCGGTATCGATCTGCATTTCAAGAGGATGTCTTGGTGCTGAGATTTCACATCTAACCAGATGGCTTTCCATGAGTTAGAGTCTAGAGTTTCAAATATTGGCCCAACCTTTAAAGATGCTGCCCCTCACTATACACACCAATAAGAAGTAGGGATGGGACGGACTACAGATAGGTGGGTCTCCAGCTTGGCTAGGTTGCCACCCACCCAAAGATTTCACTATAAAATGCGAGGACCAAACGTTAAGTCTTTGCTAGCCACTACCCCCCCGCCTGCTTTAACTCCCCTTCTGCCCAGCCTGCTAAAACCCTTTGTCTTTAGTTGATCCTTTGGCGTGCGCAGCCAAAGAGGTCCATGCCCTGCTAGCTGGTTCTAGCAGAGTATAATTTAGAAGTACCCCTAGATTCTATCATTCTTCCCTATTTTTACATTGCAACAGACAAGACTTCAGGAACAGGCAAGTATAACCCGATACCTACCTACCTCCAAGTAAATGAGAAACTATTTTTATATCTTTCTGTAACTCTAAAGAAACTTGATTGTATGTGAATGTGAGACTGATTTTGTGTGTATGTGATTTTGATAGTGATTCAGTAAAAAGACAATTTGTTTTGGAAAAACACCAGTCTAGTGTCTCTCACTGGGATTTCTTGGGGGTGGCCGGACTTCCTTAAACTTTGGCAAGGACTCACGTTAAATTTAGTTGCCATCTGCTGTACATAAAGCAGTTTGGCTAACATTTAGCAGAACACGGTGAACCTGAGTCAAAAAGATTAGGGAGTTAGTTTCCATGCCATCAGTCAGAAAATATTGGGGTCATGGTGGAGGACCCTGCCATGTTGCTGTGATAGATCGGAAACTGAAGGTGTATATCCACCTGCAGGTAGCCAAAGGCTTTGAAGACAGGACCCAGGTATTTTCGATTGAGAGATCATTCATTCTCATCCAAGACCATCCTGCTGGGGAAGTCCACCTGAATGTTTTGGACCTCTGGCATATGAACCGCAGTCAGGAGGATGTTGTGTTCCCTGTACAAGTGTCATGGAGCTATTGCCCACCTGCAGAGCTTGGTCGAAGCGGTGTCTCCCTGTTTGTTGATATAGTACATGGTTGCCACGCTGTGGGTGGCAATCTGTACTACTCAGCGTCCATCGCTGAGGAAGGATGTAGAGCCGATTCTAGCAGGGCTACTTTAAGGCACACAGCTCAGTTTTTTCGGGTCTGGTTTGAAAAGAAAGCACAGTGGCAACAAGATTCGGGTCGATGAGACTCTCCGAGACAAAGTATGCAAAGGGTATGACGGTCAGGAGGAGCAAGTTTACTACCGCAACCCTTGCACCTATTAAAAAAGCCCCACTTCTTCTCCATAAAAACCAAAATGAAGAAGAAAGAAGGGGTGAGGGGGGGCTAGCCCGAAGGCCCAACTGAAGTAAAGCGGCAACCTCCCCTTCAGCAGAAAATAAAGGGTTTTTTTAAAAAAAAATTGAAAGAACGACGAAGAAAAGGAATAAACTGAGGGAAAAATCCAAAGAGCCGTGAGGCAAAAAGTCAAAACACGTGAACTGATCAGACCAACGAAGAAAAGGTCTTTCCAATGCGGCAGTAAGAAAGGAACTGGCGGG